ATGGTGAAAAAAACCATTCTTGTCTTAGTCCTAATCTTGGAGAAAAATGTTTTACAATTATGTAAGCTGTTATTCACGAGCTTTTCTTACATTTTTTTTATCACATTGAAGTAGTTTTTCTCTAGTTTCTTTCTGACTTGTTGAGTGTTTTCATCATAAAAAAGCATTGAATTATTTTTCTTCCAAATTTTTATTAATAATTCTAGTTACTTAACATATAGTGTAATATTGGTTTCAGGAGTAGAATTTAGTGATTCATCACTTACATATAACACGCAGTGCTCACCATAACAAGTGCCCTCCTTAATACCCATCACTCATTTAGCCCACCCCCTCATCCACCTCCCTCCATCAACCCTCAGTTTGTTCTCTATTGTTAAGAGTCTCTTATGGTTTGCTTTCTTCTCTCTCTCTTTTTTTTTTACCCTTCCTATATGTTCCTCTGGTTTGTTTCTTAAATTCCACATATGAGTGAAATCATATAGTAATTACATTTCTCTTACTGACTTATTCCGCTTAGCATAATACGATCTAGGTCCATCCACATCATTGCAAATGGCAAGATTTCATTCTTTTCGATGGCTGAGTAATATTCCATCGTATGTATATATACTACATCTTCTTTATATGTTCATCAGCTGATGGACACTTGGGCTCTTTCCAGAATTTGGCTACAGAATGGGAGAAGATACTGCAAAGACATATCTGATAAAGGGTTAGTATGCAAAATCTATAAAAAACTTATCAAACTCAATACCCAAAGAACAAATAATACAGTTAAGAAATGGGCAGAAGACATGAATGGACATTTTCCCACAGAAGACATATAGATGGCCAACAGATACATGAAAAGATGCTCAACGTCACTCATCATCAGGGAAATACAAGTCAAAACCACAATGAGGGAGCGCCTGGGTGGCTCAGGAGGATAACCATCTGACTTTGGCTCAGATCATGATCTCAGGGTCCTGGAATCCAGCCCCACGTTGGGCTAAGCACTCAGTGGGGAGTCTGCTTGATTTTCTCTCTCCCTCTCCCGCTTTGCTCTCTCTCTTCCTCTCTCTCTCAAATAAATAAATAAATCTTTAAAAAGGAAATCCATGAAGAGATACCACCTCACACCTGTCAGAATGACTAAAATCAACCACACAGGAAACAACAAGTGTTGACAAGGATGTGGAGAAAGGAGAACTCTCTTACACTGTTGGTGGGAATGCAAACTGGTGCAGCTACTCTGGAGAACAGTATGGAGGTTCCTCTAAAAGTAAAAAATAGAACTACCCTATGATCCAGCAATTATACTACTAGGTATTTACCGAAAGGATGCAAAAATACAGATTCAAAGGGGTACATGCAATCGGTTGTTTACAGTAGCACTATCAACAAGAGTGTTGAATTTTATAAAATATTTTCTCTGCATCAATTTAGATCATCATTTACCCCCTTCCTTCTGTGTATTTGGTGTGCTATATTGATTTTATTCTGTTGAACAAACCTTGCATTCCAAGAATTAATCCCATTTGGTCATTGCATATCATCATTTAATTTGCTATTAAATTCTGTTGGAATTATTTTGTTGAATATTTTTGAACAAAGTTCAAGAGTGATAATGGTCTGTACTTTTCTCATAGTGTCTTTTTCTGATTTGGGTATTACAGTAATGCTGGAATCATAATATTTTGGAAGAATGTCAGAAGAATTCATATTAATTTCACTTTAGATGTTTGTTACTATTCACCTTTGAAGCCATTTTTTCCTCCGGGGTTTTTTAGTTGGGAAGTTTGTGATTACTGATTTGAACTTTCTACTCAATATTGCTCTAAGTTTTTTTATTTATGATTTATTTGCAGTATGTTGTGCATTTCTGGGAATGTAACCATTTCTCCCAGGTTATCTAATTTGTTGGCATACCAATTTTCATAATATTGTAATTATTTTTATTTCTATTATATTATTGTAATATCTATTCTTTTATTACTGGTTTTGGTTATTGGGACTTCTCTCTCTTTTTCTTAAAGAAGAAAAGCCAACTTAGTTAAATGATTGCCAGTTGTCTTGATCTTTTTGAAAAACAAACTTCATTTTGTTGATTTTTACCATTGTTTTTTTATTTTCCATATTTATATCTGCTCTAATCTTTACTAATTCTGACCTCCTTGTATTTTGGCTTAGTTTGTTCTGTTTTTCTAGTATTTCAGTGTGTTAAGTTAGACTGTTGATTTAAGATCTTCCTTTTCTTAATGTGTCTGAAGCTATAAAGACAAAATTATATAAAATAGATATTATATTACATGCATTGTGCTGAAATCAAACAAAACACACAGGCAAAACTCATCAATCTCTAATTTTTTAAGAATGTCTTTCTTTGAGTGAGAGAAAGTGAGAGAAATCACAGAAGGAGAGGGAGAAGCAGACTTGCTGATGACTGAGAGGAGAGCGGGATGTGGGACTCAATCCCAGGACCCTGAGATCATGACCTGAGCCAAAGGCAGCCGCTTAACTGACTGAACCACCCAGGTGCCCCTCTAGTTATTTTTCCTACATTTTGTTATTCCATATATTCTTGAAGTTATGTATATTGATTATATTTGCATGGTGTAAATACATCTCTTCCCAACTCTACATTAATTGACATCAGTAACTTGAAATTGGCAAATGCCACACAGGATATTTCCCCCAAACCACCCCCTTCCCCAGAAAGACTGTTGTTAAACACCTACACACATATCACCAGTTGAATATGATACACTCAGCAGATTCTCTCACGTGCTGGATATCCTCAGACCCAACCAATGCTGTTATAAAAATGAGAGTCAAGGCCTATCTTACACTATTCTACAAAGTGAGGTTTTGAATCTGTGAACTGGAGTAGTACATGACAAAAAAAGTTTGGATATTTAACATTTATGACAAAGTTATACGATGCCCATTATATGCCACCCTGAAGAGACTTTTTCAAAAAGTATAGAACAGTGTGCGTACATGCATGCACTTGCAGGCATGCATTTGTGTGGGGAGGTGGGGACTGATGCATCAATATCAGGTCTAAAAGGTTCTGCCTAAGAGGGCAGGTGGGACTTAGAAAAATGAAAGGGTCCAGGACAAAGGGGCTCACTCCTTCTCCCAGTGTCCATCACTTCATCTCTCTTTTCCTCCCTCTTCTCATGCCACATCCTTGAACTCTAAATGTACTTTCTCTTTTACCAACTCAGCTGCGGGACCGTGGCGCACCTAGGACACAGTTGCACAGCAGGGTTTTAGTCTTTTTCCAGGCAACACGGCTTCCTCCCTCTGGGAGTATGTGGGCTTGTTTATCTAATATCTGGGAGAGGAGGAGTTTTGGGATCACTGATTTAAGTAGAGAATGAGGGAAGGGAGGGAAACATGAGATGGACGTCAGTCTTGCCCTATGGGCCGAGTGATTCGCATGGTTATCTGGCATAAGCCAAGGATGATAAGAAGCCTGACTTCTTAAGACCTGAAACAAGAAAGCGTAAGTTGTCATCAGATGTCATCACCATCAATCTTCTTGGGTACGAATGAGGGAGGCAAGGCAGGAAGGAGAAAACATGATGGGAAACAGGCAAGGCATAGCCAGTTGAGCTTTCTTGTCTTCGGGGCGGGGTCTCCAGTTCTTCCTTTGTTTGGAACATCAGCAGAGGACGGAGAAACAAGGGCTGGCAAGATCTGATCCACGACTACATATTGCTACCTTGAATACAAAACAGAGAGACTGTTTTTGAAATACTCTTCTGACTGGATGTCTGCCGTTTCAAGATTGGAACCTTTCACTCAACGGTTGAGATAGAGACAGAGATAGATCATTTTTTAGAAGGTAAATTATTAGCTAATTTAGGGCCTGGCAGAGAAGGGAGTCTTCCCGCATCCATCGCTGGCCAAAAATTTCCCCTAAAACACTTGTGGTGCAAGAGAGTGGTAATAATGCTCAGCTCAGAGAGGTGCTGTGAGGCTCTATGTGTTTAACATACAGGGGGCACAAAATAAATGCATGGTAATGATGCGTCCTCATATTTCACGGGTCCTTTCAAAGTAGGCTCTGGGTCTAATTCACCTCCCCTCTTTGATTCTTCTGGCCCCGATTGGCTTCAGCGTCCCCCACTGTAAAATACACATTGGACTCGAATCCAACTGGCATTCACTTGGTCATGTGTTGGCCTGACTGGATGTTTTCTTTGGCCCACCTGTACAGGTCTTAAAGAGGAAACCAGAGGCAACATGTTAAAATGGAGGTGTTCTACGTAGAGATCTAGAATTCCCTTTTCCTCTTGAAAAATCAGGAGATGTGGCAGTGCAGAGTCCACATTCCTGCATGGCAGCAATCGGCTAGAGCCAGGTGGCAGCTGGCCCCTTCGGTAGAGCATGCACTGCGAGTTGGCCAGAGCCTGTCTGGACTGCTCCACTCGTTATTAGGACCTGCTTGACCCTGCAGACAACTCAATCTGGGGCCCTCTGGACAGCTGGAAACAGTCTATGCCAGGCAGAAGGTAGGCACTCACTTGGTCAATGAGTAAAACGCTTACCCTTCTTTATCTCTACCATTTTCTTGTCTAGTCGTGTTAAGAAATCCCAGTTATTGAGTAAGGTGAGTCTCACTTTGGAAAGTAAAGTGAACAAGTCTGTTAGAGTCAGGATGGTCTATGTTATACTGTGGTAACAAACAACTCTTCTATCTCACTGCCTTACAACAGCAAGGGTTTATTATTTGTTCACACACATCAATCTAGACATGAAATGAACACACCCTTCTATTTTGACAAGCATGGATACATACGTGAGTGCACGGCTACGTTTGCAATCACAAGTCAAATGAAAACTCTGGCATGTGAACATAGGACCTCCCACAGAACCCTATTTAGAGACTGATCAGCTTAGACCGCACAACGCTGTTTTTCTAGGAGACATGAAAAGGCCCCCAAATCCAAGGCAGTAAGGGATGGAGGTACAAGGATACCCACCCTCAGCCAAGGAATTGCCCCATACAATAAAGAGGGTCTGAAAAGCTTGTAAAAGAACCTGAAGGTTAAGGGAAAATAGAACATGTTAAGCATATTGGATAGTAAACATTTTGCAAATGCATAAATAGGCAGCACTCTAGTGAGGCCTCCTCTTCTGCGCTTCTAGCTCAAGAGGGAGATGCACTCCAGATGTCCAATAGGCAGAGAAATGGAGCTGGCTGGTCTGGGTCGCAGAGAGGGGCTAGGAGGTTGGGGTCCTCTATCTCCAGCAGGAGCTGCACATAGAAAGGAAGGCATCAGAGCCAGGTCACATCCATTTCCCCTCCAGGCTCTCCCCTCTCTTCTGTTCCACCCGATCTAGGCTTTGTCACCTGGACTACAGACTGCAGCACAGAACCCTTCCTCACTGATTTGCTCAGCTCGGGTCTTGCCTCCTCCAATCCCTCCGTCAAAACCACCACATTTCTTTTGGTGGAGCCCAGGCTCTTTGCATATACTCCTCCCTAGCTCAAACATTCCCTGGCCCCTCACCACCCACAGTTTCTGGTCTAGCCCCTCAGCCCGCCATTCAGGACCTCTGTGAGTGGCCCCTTCTCCAGCCTCATCCCCTTCTGTTCCAGCAGTTCCTCCTTCACTCAGGTCACTGCTGCACCCACACACCCGTCCCCCACCCAACATTTTGTTCTGGCAAAGCCTAGCCTTCCCTCTCAGCCTTCCCGGGCATCTAGCTGTCCTCAGACTTCCTCTGGTCCTTCCACTCCAGGCTCATCTATTGAAATTTAGCCACAAAACGCAAGGGAAGTATGAAGGCATCCAGGCTCCACATGGAGACTGGAATCAAAGACCAGGTCTCCCTCCAGCCTAGGCTCTTATCACCTATGTGTATCCTGCCCACCACGGCAGACTGCAGGGGTGTGGGTAGAAAGCTCTGGGCTGGGAGCGAGGAGACCTGGGTGTTCCACCTGATAGGCCGCATGCCCCAGTGCACGTCGCTGCCACTCGCAGGGCCTCAGTTTCCTCGTTTCTTGATGCCAGGGCCCGGCGCATTTGCTGTCGAGCACTGAGCTCGATAAACTGATGATTCATCACCATCAACCATCGACTGCCATCTCTGGCATCAGACCGAGGAGCTTGGGTGCCTGGGCCCAAGGTGGTTCAGCCCACCAACCCCGGTCTCCCAGTTAGGCCCTGCTTACGACAACGCCCTCCCATTTCCCAACCCTCCCCACCACCCCGTGTTCTCCTCTCAAGGACCAGGCTACCTGCCGCCGCGGAGGGCTGCAGCAGGGAGACGGAGCTAGAAGATGCCTGGGGAGAGTCTCTCAGAATCAGCAGAGCCTCGGCCGCTTCCAGCTTCCGCTGCCACTCTGAGGCAGAAACCGAGTCCTGGTCAGAAGCTTCAGGAGCCTGCAGCGGAAAGGGTGTGAGAGAATGGGACCTGAAAAGCCATGCCTCCCCACCTCATGGGGCCAGTGGTCCTTCAGTTCCGGGTTCCGCTGAAGGCCCCACCCACGCTGGGTGCGTTCAGGTGGGGCCTTCAGCTCTTCCCGGTTACTAAGTTTGGCCCCTGCCAGGGTTCTGGACCCTGCTCTTTTCCCAGGATCTGTGGCTGCAGGAGGACAGGGCCAAGGACGGATGGCATAGGGCTGGAGCACCGGCGCTGAGCATCTAGAAACAAGGAAAAGGAAGGCCAGGGGATTCAACCCTCTGGCAGACACACACTACCAGTAGAGAAACAGGGCCAGGATTTTGCGATATCTGGATGTGGGAGTCTGAATGCCTGCGGGCCATCAGCCGTTGTGGCTTGCACAAGTCCTTTCCCCCGTTTGGTCTGTTTTCCTTTCTAGGTCCTTCTTCAATATCTCTCCCGAGACACCAATTCCTGCCAGCGTTTCTAAAACTCCCAGGGCAACGGTGACGATTGTGGGGAATCCCAGGTGTCTGTGTTCTAATCTGCAAAGCACCTGGAGAAATGGGATCACGGTCCCTGTCGAGGGACTGGTTCTCACCTCCATATTCCCCAACCCCATGGAGCCTGAAGGACCAGCTTGGCTCATCTAATGGCCTGGAAGCTTTCTCTAATGACCTCTGGACTCTGCCCCTGGGCCCCTGGGCCCCGTGGCCCTCACCATCTTGGCACGTTCCCCCTCCCCCCCCGCTTTTCAACAGGACCTTCTATCCCATCAATCTGTTTCACGTGGAATTAACAGCCTCCGTTAGTTGAAGTCCTGCTATGTGGCACGCCTTGGCCTAGCCCTCTTGTCAGTGCTGTAAGTGTGGGATATTGTCCCCATCAGTACACTGCTAGTACACACTGGAAATGGAGGCTTGGAAATGTAATGTCACGTGTCCAAAGTCTCACAGATAGGCAACCGCAAGGCTGGGAGAGCCCTGCCCTTGCCCGCTAGTCTGAGATGCTGCCTTCTCCACTCCTCCTCCTCCCCCCACTCCTCCTCCCCCTGCCACTTCTTGTCCGGCTCCTCTCCTCCCCCTCCTCCTCCTCCTCCTCATCGGCCGCCTCCTTCACTCCCTCCTTCTATCTCCCACGGCATCAACCACAAAGGTTGGGCACCCGATAACACAATATACAACTAGCTCCATGTGCCTTCTCACTTTACTCACATGCTGGGCAGGGCAGGAGTCCTGTGGGGCTTCCTGGAAAGAGAAATTGTTCGTCGCATCTTCAAGGCTGCTGGAGTCCAGGACAGAGACAAAGAATTTGGGGCATGACCAGTCAGCAGAGCTCCTTGGGCGCTTGCCTGGAGGAGCAGGGAGCACAGGGTGGAGTCAGGCACCAGGCCGGCCATGGAGAGGAGATACGTATGGGTATGTTCGTATCTCCTCTGGGATAGGAGCCCAGAACGTCGGAGCTGAGCAGACCTGGAAGACCAGCCAGGTCCTACTCTTTATTTTCCACCTGGTGAAACTGAGGCCCAGAGAGGACAAGTATTATTTCTCCAAGGTCATATGGCAAGCTGCAGTAGGGTTAGGGAGGGAACCCACATCTTCAGGACACAGAGAAGGGTCTGGGCTGTGAGTGAGATGGGAACCTCCCCCACAGGCCCCGGACTCTCCTTACCTTCCCGGGGGTTGCACGGGGGTGGGTGGGCCTCAAGCTGGGACATGATATTCTCCTTCCCAGCTGTGGAAACCTGGGGACACTTTAGGTGAACCTTTCCCCCTGACCCCACCCCACTCTTCCTCACCCCCAGTCTGAGGTCTCATCTCACCGTGGACCATTTTGACCCCTCAGATCTCTCCTTCCCACCAAGACTTGGTAGATAATGTTGATGACATCTATTAGGTGGGGGCAGCTAAAGGCCCGGGGAGTAATTTGCCAAGGCCACATCAAAACTGGGTAGTAGGACTGGCGACAGAACTGCTCAAAGCTCCCTTCCCCCAAACCCAGACGCCCTCCCTGGCCAGAGACACTCACTGAGGGCTCCTGCTTGAATGGTCAACTTCTTGACATGGCTGTGAGCTTTGCGAGGGGAGGCCTCACTCCTTAGTCCTTGAGCCAGGTGCCTCTTTAGCTGTGCCCCCTGCTCCCTCTTCAAGGCACTCTCAGCAGGCAAGACACTGTGGTGTTCCCTAAAGTGGGGGATTGCAGGTCAACAGTCAGTCACATTTAGGGGAGGCCCACCCCC